CGAGGATACGGGAGCGCTTCTCCATGAGAAGGCTCTCACGGAGCTCCCCTGCACCCCATGCATGAAGCAAACCCATCCCCACAGCCCTGGGGGCTGTCCCCGAGGTGGCAGTGCTCACTCTGAGCCGGGCTCTGGCAGCACAATGCGGCGAGGAGGAGGAGGGCGCAGAGCACGCCGGCTGCCTTCTCCATGTCAGGATGCAGGAGGGCTGCTCAGTGGTGCCGGGGCAGAGCTGCCGTCTGCCGGGGTCAGGGCTGCTGGGCTGCTTTTATGGGTGAGCAGTGGGGCCGGATTCTCCCAGGGCCAGCAGTTGCGTAGGCAGGGGGAGGACCTGGTCCCCTGCCATGTCCCAAAGCACAGAGGGTGAGCACTACTCATCCCCTCCCACCACAGCCCCGGGAAGGGAAAAAACCTACTCCCAGGCTGTGCTTTTGGCCCCCTATGGGCTTGGGATTTTTCCTGAGCTCCTGCCTCCAGCATTAGGGACAGTGGCTGGGTTGCTCCCAAAGTTTGGCTCCGCAGCCCTGACCCTTGAGCAGGCTGCATGCCCCATGGCAGGAGCACCGGGGCAGGGGGGAGGGTCCGGGGATCTCCCTTAGATGGGACCAGGGCCAGGCTCAGCACCCTGCAGGGTCCCCAGGACCCACACACACTCCCGATGGTCCATGTCCACACTCTGCACCACAAAGTTTTGCATCCTATCGCTTTGCATCCCAGCCCAGGGGACAAACAGCCAAATACCACGCTGCTTCCTAAAAAAAGCCATAGAGAAACAGCTTCTGTTCAGTTGCACCAGGCATGTACATGGCTCTGTGCTGGTTTTGGGGGTTCTGGGGGCCTGTGAGGGCTGGGAGAGGCTGGGCAGGTGGTTCTGCTTCCATTCCCACGGTGCCAAAGCAGCAGCTCATGTTCTTGGCCATGCTGAGCTGGGAAAGGCAGAGGCCAGTTTAGGACTTCCCCAGTGGTGGTCGCAGCTGTCCAAAAAGCCCCCTCTCCTCCCAGCCCCGGCAAATCCCGTGGCTCATCCCAGCTGCCGGCAGCTGGCGGATGGTGGGAAAGCAGCGGGAAGATGCGGATGTGCACCCCCGCCAGCCCAGCTGTGCAGGCAGTCACGTCCTGCCGCGCGGGGCTGGGGACACCGACAGCACCCTGCCGGTGTTTGGGCCAGCCTGGGCTGCAGTGCATTCCTGAGAGCCAGCTAGGGCGGGCATGGGCTGCTGGTCCAGGCAGGGACCTGCCCCAGTGGGAATGGGGGATGCCTCCATGGTGGGACCACGCGTGTCCCTCCATTTGCTCTTCTCTAAAGCCATTTCCCAGAAATCAGCCTCAATTTTTTGGGACACATGTGCTAGGTAGTAGTGGGGCACAGCAAGCAGGGCCAGGTGATGCCTGGGGGCTGGTGAGTGTGGACAAGGGGGGGTTCATGTTCCCGTGCCTGGCAGAGCAGAGCATGCTCCCATCACCACCCCAACTCCCATTTAATCTCTCCTTGGGGAGACCCTGGAGAGCGGAGGAAAGTGGATGCTTCTGGTCCCGGTCTGGTGCAGCTGTCTGGCTCATTTTCCCTTCCTGGATCCATTCTTTCCCTCTTATTCCCCTTCTTACCCCCACGCTCTGAGGACCTCCTGACCCAGCTGTGGTAAACGTGGCCTCCGAAGGGTAGAAAATATTCCCTGCAATAAGAAAATGAAACAGAAGCACAAGGAAAACAAAAGAAGGTTTATTGGACTGGAAAAGGCCCCTTTTAAAAAGACTCACATGCAAAACACTGGGATACATCAGGCCGGGGAATTCCAGGGATGACGTTCCCAGCACCTGCAGCATCCCTCTGTCCTGAGCCCCAGCGCTGGCATCTGCCCCGTGGGGTGAGTGGACCCTGCAGACGGGGGATTTTGGAGCATGGGGGTTTCAGCTCTGGTTGGGCCCATGGAGCTGGCAGCCCCTGAGCACCCCTGGGTCCCTGGGGCTTGCCTGTGTCCCAGGAGGAATATCCCCCTTTCCCCCCCCCCCCACATCAGCAAGGATGGAACTTTACTGGGTTTGCACAGACCTGGCACCGGGGCTAGGGGTGTCCGTGGGGGCTCAGAGGGGCCAGAGGCAAAACCAGGTGCTCTTGCAGCTCTTGATTAATTTAGGAGAAACTGGTCTTCACCCCCTTCCACCTCCTCAGCCCTCCCCTGTTTGATGCAGAGAAGGGCATGGGAGATGGGCAGACCCACTGCTGTGACGAGCGGATCCAGTCTCTGCTCTGGGGTGGCCCCGCAGGTCCCCCAGTCCCCACATGTGGTCTGGGCTGGAAACCACCCTCTTCCTCCCTTTCTTCCCCCGTTTCACCGTGGGCTTTTTGCCAGCACTCCCAGCTCTGGCTCCAGGCTTGGCTGCAGAGCGTGGCGAGGAGCGGAGCTGCTGGGGACAGGCCACCAGCATCTATCTCCACCTGCCCCCTCTCCCAGGGCTGCAGCATGGGGTCCTGGGGCTCTCTTGGCCCTGGCTTTTGTCACCCTTGCTTGCCGGGAAACCCTATGGCTGGGGAAGTCCCTCTGCGAAATGCAGGGGATACAGGTGGGGGACCCCAGGAGATGCTGCCTCATCCCCACATCCCTCCCACTATCACCAGGGACCCTCATGGTGAGGGAAGAAGGGCTGAGCCCTGTGGTGGGGGTGGGAGGTATAGGCACCTGCAAAACATATGGGATGGATCCTACTCCTGCTGCCAAGAGGTGCAGGGGAAGGTGGCAAGTCTGCAGGCTGGCAGAGGCATTTGGGACCCCGCTGGGGGCTGAGCTCTCATTGCCCCCTCCAAAAATTGTGCAGGGGTTCCAAATCTCCCACTGCTGAGCGGGACAAGGATGTCCTGATCCCACCAGCCCTGGGGGGGCAGTGGTGGATGCTGCAGCCCTGGCTACCCCATGGCCACCCCATGGCTGCCCCACGCAGGCATTGCTCCCCACGGCTTCTCCGTGTCCCTGAACAGAAAGCAAAGCAGCTCCTGGGGAAGCCTCCACCTCCGCCGGCACCGTGCCGGTGCTTAGGCACTT